GGACCAGGTTGTACTTACTGGTCTTTGTAACTGTCCAGCCCTTCCTTCCCCACCCTTCCTCTACGCGTCCCCAACCCTATTCCTCTGGCTCAGGCTTAGGATGGGCTTGCACACATGCATGTGCAAAATGTGGCTGAGGGCCACTGAGGTGAGGGGGTGCGTAAGAAATCACCTTCCCATCACAGTCCAGTGTGGAGCAGTGTGGGGTGGTGGGGAGTAGCAGCTATGAAGGCAGCTAGATCTCCATTACAGGCCCAGAGCCTCCATTTTTGAGCTGTGTTGCTTTAGACACGTTCCTTAACATTTCCATGCCTCAGTGTCCTCACTGAAAAAATGACAATAGCAGCACCGACATTGTATGTAGCTGTGTTGATTAAGTAAAGTAAATTCTCCCCCAAATTTTTTTGTTAAATATATATATAGAGAGAAGTCTCATGTCCTAAGCATTCAGTTGAATGAATTTTGATAAATTGAACACAGCTCTACAACCAGCATCCAGAACAGGAGACAATATTGGTTTCCCAAAGACCTTGCTTGGGTTCTCTGTGAGGAAACTTCCGTGGTGAGGTGAATAAAGTGCTTAGCACACACCAGAGACATTTAGTGATCACTGTCACCATTATCTCTCCCTCATTCCTAAACTCCCTGATTCTAACACCATAACTCCAAAATTCCCATCAAACGAAACCACCAGCCCCCATCAGCAAGAGCCTTCAGAAACAGCCATTGATGTTACGTTGACCCACCCTTCATCAAAGTCGGTGCCTTTGTATTGCAAGCTGCAGACAGGTAGAACACCACCCAGGCTCTGCCCAGGGGCTAGGCATTCTGGGGATTTCTCAGTGCTCTGGGGAACTGATTCACAGACTTCTAGGATTAGAAGAAGCCTGGAGGTCATCATGTCTGAGCTCCTCCTGAGGCATGAATGACACCCTGGCTTGGCAACAAGGGCCTCAAGCTTCAGCCTGATCTATGTATAGTCCTGGGGTACACCCTGAATCACTAAATGTTAGAGCTTGGAAAGCATCTTAGGGATCATGCAGTATCCCAGTCCCTCATTTTAAATAGGAAAGACCTGAGACTCAGAATGAGCAGAGACTTGCCCCATATCACACAGCCAGGCAGTGAGAGAGAAAGAATACAAGCCAGGTCTCTGGACTGTATAGTTATTCTTCATTAAAGTCGGTGCTTTCGGATTGAGTGCTGCAGACAGGTGGAACAAGACCCTACCTTGGAAGGGGATCACATTAGCAAGGTAAGCAGGTCTGCAGCTTGATGCTCCAAGACTGTGTTTGGCCCCATTTCCCTAGAGTGGAGGGATTTGCAGTAGAAGCAGACTTAGCAGCGAGCTGGGGTGGGAGCCAGGGTGGGTATTTATCACTTTCCAGCAGCACACACAATGAAAGGGGGGCCCCTCACCAGTCACCCACTAATTACCCAGAGCCTAGAGATGAATGGGCTATGATCTGAAAAGTCTTCCATGAATCCCAGCAGCAAGCTGACATGGTGACAGTGGGAACAGCCTTTGTGGGGGACCAGACAACCCTGGGGCAGATGCTTATTGCTCCAACTGGCTTATCCACTGGGCTTGGAAGAGAGGGGACAGCTCCATGACTCCATTTAGCAGAATAGCAAATGCCTGCAGGGGGTTGGATGAGGGGTTCTCCAGCTTCTTTGAATTGCAGGATAGTAAACCAGAAAGGAACTTCTTAGGCTTGAAATTATCCCCAACAAAGTCCAGTCATTCTTTTGGATTGAGACTTTTTGGTTTAAAAACCCTATGTAAAGGGGGGACCCATGAGGAAGAGAGTCCCAGTATACTGGTGTGCTCCAAGGTGACACAAAGGTGCCTCTGCTGCAGGGAAGGACATCCCATGTGTGAGCACTCCCTGCAGAGAGAGGGAACCCCATCACCGAAGATGCTCACACACAGACTCCATGATTGCTCCACAAAGGTTTGTAGAGGGAATCCATGCTTTGGGTAAGTGATTGATCTTCTGTGCCTTAAAATTTTCTGGCCACTGGGATCCTGAACCTGTGAGCTGTTGAGCTGACCCAGGCACACACATGCAGGATCTCAGGGTTGATGCAATTTCAGTGGCCATGTGGCCTGAACTCCACTCAGCAGGGGGATGGCCTCCACAGTCCTGCACCATCTCCACCCACTTCCATCTGCTGGGGGCTCCATTCCTGGTGGGGTCACTTACAAAACAGGCATCCAGAAAAATGCGTGTTGACCTAATGACTTTGGATAACCCACTTAGCCTCACTGACTTGGTTTCTTCATCTGTAGAAATGGAGAAATATAACACATACTTTAGGGTCTTGAGCATAGAGTGAGATAGCTGAACTTAAAGTGCTAGAGATATCTAGCACTTAAAGGACACTCTGCATCAAAGTCCCTCCCTCCCTCCCTCCCTCCCTCCCTCCCTCCCTCCACTTCCTTCCTTCCTTCCTTCCTTCCTTCCTTCCTTCCTTCCTTCCTTCCTTCCTTCCCAGAGTCTCCCTTTTCCCTTTTTCTGTAGCCCATTTCACAGCTGGTCCTCGTGCTCTTGGTTGTGGCTTGATTGTTCATTATCCAACTTCTCCACTTCACTGGGGCATCTCCGAGGGTACTGTTGCCCCACTCTGGCCCCTACTTAAGGAGCACTAGAGAAGTGTGGGTTGAATAAAGCAATGAACCAGCTTCCAGACTTCAGGAATCCCAACACTTACAAGGCCGTACTGTTGCCTGCTGGACTGCTCTCCCCACTACAGAGTTGTGCCCTGGGACAAACAAAATCTGCACTTAGGTCCTACCTCTGCTCTTCTGTCCCCACTTCCTGAGCCCAGAGACCTAGTCTGTTTCTACCTACACAAAAGGGCCCATCTGGCAGTTGATGGTTCTCTCCTTCTCCCAAGTCTTCTTTCCTCTGAGCGTTCCTTAGCTCCCCCTGGCGATCCTCCTCTCCCTCTGTCTCTGCCTCTCCTTTGCCACCATTTCTAGGGCCCTAGCCAGCATGTGCCTAAAGGCTTCCCCTGACTGCATACGGTCATTGCCAAGGGCTCAGTAATTTCTTAAAAAATGACCTGGGCTTTGGCATGACTTTAATTCCCTACCCCTCTCCCTGCCCCACAAAGGCACCATGGGCAGAGGCTGTTGATAACTCTGATGCCCATATAGCTCTATGTTCAAAAGAGTTTTCTGTTTGACCTCATGTCTGTGATCATGTTTGGAAAACTATAAAGCCCTATGCAAATGGAAAAGGTTTATCTCAACATTCAGGCTGACATTCATTGACCTTTGAGACATGCCAAGATAGTATGGGTATTAGCTCTACCCTGAAGAGGGAAGTTCTAAACACAGCCTTCTGAATCAGGGCAGACTGCCTGGAGGAAGAGAAAATAATCAGGGCAGACTGCCTGGTCCCATGGGAAGTGAGCTGTCTGAGTTTCATGATAGCTAACAGAGTCCTGTGTTGGGGAAAAACTTCTGTTTTATGCCAAGTATTTGGAATTCACTTATTGCTCAGTAAATCCCACTGAAGGTCCTCACGACTTAATATAGTAATATTTCTGCCTTTTCCATATACATGAATTCCATAATAACTGTAATTATTATAAAGTTATAATAAAACATGATATGTTATGCCGTTAATTCAATGGCAATAAGGATAAAGTATGGGGACTTCTCTGTCTCTGCATTCATCATTTTTCCCCTTAATTATGGAACAATTCCCCAGGCTGGAAGGCAGGAGGAAGAGGCCTCATTCAGTCTTAATGGGGCTTCCTTCTTAGCATCACCACCTAGTTTAAGTGGTCCAGGCATCTCTTCTAGTGGGGCAGAGAGAGGGGGAAGGTCTCAGCAAATGAGCTCCCGGCATTCTCATGGATTGAACTAGAGATCTCCCCCCTACCCACTTACAAGCACTCCATCTGCCCTTTTAAACCACCAGTCCTTTCTCTCCCAGGCCATAGCTGATTGGACTGGAGGGGGACATCTGAACCCAAGGGAGAAAATCCTAGGACAGAGGCTGAAGGGGTTGGCGCTGGGTTCTAGAACTGGAGGATCCTGCAAGAAGTAGGTTGGGGTAGCCACTTCCTGCCATGGTGGTGCTAAAGCTGTGTGTCCGTCTTCAGACTGAAGAGAGACCTAATCTGTCCCCGAGAGCTTTGAAGGCAACCCTGGGGGCTGATTCTGCAAGTCCCAGTGTCAGTCTCACCTGGGTCTTGGTTGTACTTCTTGTCCTCAGCTGGTATAAGTCATGCCTGCATCATTCTGACAAATTCCCCTTTCTTTTTTTATCTAGTTTTGAGTATGTTTCTAATTTTTCATACAAACAATTCTCAAGGCCTGACTTTTAGGAGAGGTGCCCTTTGTATCTTGCTCATCATTGTTTTCCTGACACCCTAAACAGTGCTTAGCACGTAGAAGATACTCTGTAAAATTGTTGAATGAATGAATGGAAACACTAGAACTTTGACCTAGTAAGGGACACTCTTCTTAATGCAGGCCCAGTTTATCCCAGTTGGACTTAAGCCATTGCCCCTCATTTAACCCTAAGAAAGAGAATTTCCCTACAGACACTCCTTCCAAGAGGATGTCCTCTGGGTGGAGGTGGAGAAAAACATTCTGGAATAGTGACAGGGAGGCTTCCCTTGGGAACCTAACCCCTGGACCCTTGCCTGCAGAACAGACCATTTTTCTCTGAAGCATGTCTCTAGCGCAGGCTGTGAGCCCTCAGCCTGAAAGCAGGGTGTGGGAAGGGGACTGAGATAGCCCTTCGGTCTGTTCTCCTGCTACCAGGCAGCCCTGCTGCAGACTGCATCTCAACTCAGAAGGCAGCACTTTGTCCATGTTCAACAATAACATTAAGTTCCTCCCAGGAAGCTGTGGGCCCACTGCCAGGGACACAGTGGGGGCATGGCAGACATGGGCTCTGCCCACAGAAACTTAGAGGCTGCTAGAGGAGTGTCTGGACTTCCTCTGTCTCCCTAGTCTCTTCACAGTGGGGTCCTGGAGCTAGTCAAGCTTGCCCTTCCTGTCAGTTCTCAAGTCCTCCCCCCCTGCAGGTCAGACCAGCCCCTCAGAGGAGCCCAGAGAATGACAGAAGAGCCCAGGGCAGGCCTCTCCTCCATGAGCCTCTCTCAGCTGCCGCTGCTCGAGACACGCAGCCTCCGTGCTCTGAGGGACAGAAATGGAAAGCTGGTGTCAGCTGGAGGAGAAAGTGAGGGCCCCAGAGATGGCCTTCTCCAGGCTGAAAAGGAGATCAAACATGAAAATGTGCGAACTCCCTGTGATGGGGTGAGTACAGGGAAGACGCTGTTTCCCTGGGTGATGGATTGTCTCCGCACTTCTGAGGGAATTACAAAGTGATAGTGATCTTGTTCCTCTCTCCTTGTGCTGCGCAGGCTCGGCGCCTAGAGGAATCTTTTATTGGGTCCAAGTTGTGTGTCAATTATGTTTCTCAAAGGAAGGGGAGAGAGGTCAGCAAATTGGTCTGATGTCCAGCGTGGAGAGTTGGTATGAGAGAAGACTCAGGGACAAGTCCTCAGTGGTCCTGATGAGAAGTCAAACCCAGCTGACCTCCGTCCCAATCCTGTGCCTCCCATCCTGCTCTTTCACTCTCCCTGATGTTGGCCACTGACTGCTCCCCATTTCCCCAGCTTCCCTCCACATCTCCCACCATAGCATCCCCTAGCCAGCCCTGGTAAGGCCATTCCAGCTACTCTGTCACCAACCCCAATTCTCTGGCCCTCCTTCACCTTCCTGCCAATCACCCCCCAAGTCCTCTCCAGCCGTGAAATTATTGAATATCAAGATTTCCATTTCTTCCAATATTCTGTGAGTTGTTAGAAAAAAACCTCACATCCTTGCTGATAAACTTCATTATGCATGAAGTCTTTCCACCCTCATCCAGCTCAGAGGACTGGCAATACTTTGGGGAGGAGCATGTCGGCAGCTTTGGACCTTCAACCTCTTTTCTCTTTTGACACTCTTGCTCTAGCTCAGAGACCCTTTACTGCTCTGTCCACCCTCTACCACTTTGAGTCTAGAATCCTCCCTGGATTCAGGACACCCCAAACCCTGAACAACTCTGATTGGACCAATGGTGGTTACCTGTCCCAAGGTGAGAACCAATTGGATCCCATCTCCTGAAAATTAGGAACTGGGACATAAAGGCTCTGATTTGTCCACATTGGACCCCAGGGCTAAATGGTTACAGACCAGCAAGGAGAGGCAGGTGCCTGGAGGGAAGTAGGATGGGACTCTGTCTGGCCCTGGGGAGATGGCGAGAGCATCTCCCTAAGAGCCCCAGCTGTTTTTCTGGTCTTTTTATCTGTGAGATACTTGGTTGCCTCCCAGCAAATCCCTACTTGTGCTTAAGCTACTCTGAACAGACTTCTGCCGTGAACAAACACATTTGCTGACTAGGACTCAGCAAGGGACCTCGCCTCCTACCTCACTGAAGAGGCTGAGACCATCCGCTTCCCTTGACTTCAATCCATTGGCCTCAAAGCACAGACACCTATTCACACACACATTCCCTCTGCCTGCCAGCTCAGAGGGGCCTGACCTTTTCCAGGCTCATCCCACGCACTTGATTCCATTCCCCACTCCCTCTGGATTCTGCAGTAAGCCCTTTCCACTCTTACATTGCCATCCCTCTCATTCCTTCCCCAAAGCCTATACACACGTTAAGTATCTCCAGTCCTAAAAACCTAGGAACATTATTTGATCCTGCTTTCCTTCCAAGCCACCAAATCATCTCCTTCCTTTCCTTTTGTTTTAAAAGGAAAGACAGCATAATATGGGCAAAAGAGCACAAGATGGAGGGTCAGGACATGAGGTCTACAATGTAGTAGAGCTGAGTGACATTTAACACGTTTCTCAACCTCTCTGGGCTTGTCTCCTCAGCTGGAAAAATGGTGATGATGAAAATCCCAACCTTTCTTCAGGCTTATTGTGAGGATTAAATGGGTTAATGTACGTTAGTAAAAAGGGCTTGACACATTCTCTGGGACTTTCTAGCCACTCAGTAAATGTTGATGAATCAGAAGAGTACTTTGTCTTATTGCATCTACTTTCTACCCTCCATTGAAGCCTCGGCCGCTTGCGTCACCGCTCTCCTTGAGGACGCTGATGGCTTCTTACTGCTGCCTCCAGGGGCTTCTTTGCTGTTCCGATTCTGCTCGCCCCTCCGTGGGGCCTGAGCTTGCCTTTCCTTGCCTCCTCCCCGGCTCCCTGCCCCGGCTCCCCACCCCCTCACCCCGAGCCTGACCGGGTCTTCTTGCCAGTTCCCTGCTCTTCTTCCCAGTTCTGCATGGCCTTCTCTTCTCAGCTCATGCTGCGCTCTTTCGTTTCCCTCACTTCCCAGCTTCCCCTCTCACTAAGGGCCAAGGAGCTGGATCTCTGCCCCAGCCCTCCCTTGGGTTCCAGATTCCCCTCTAGCCATCACCACTCAGGGTCTTGCATCTCTCTCTCCCTCTGCCACACGGGCCCCCTTCCTTTTCTGCATCTCCAGCCTCAGCACCACCCGGCAAGCTGGCAGCCAAACCAGCGAGGCTGACGCTAACTCTCTACAACTCCCGTAACCCCCATAGGCCGCCTTCTATCAGCTCTGCAAAATATTTTTCGAATCGGTCTCCTTTTTCATGCCCCATGCCATTGTCCTAGTCCAGCTTCATTGCCTTTTACCTAGACTCCTGCTGGGCCCTCCAACTGGCCCCCCAGGCCCAGCCTTTCCTTGCCCAACTCAACCGTTTTCTTTGCAGAACACCCAACCCCTCACCACATGCAACCACAGTTAGCAGTCGTGAACTCTGGCTCCAGACTGCCTTTCCACCCCTGTATTCCTGCATTCCCACTAACAAATCCCACCTTCCAGCCCCAGTAGATTCTTCTCTCACTTTCGTGCCTTTGCCTGTGTTGTCTCTTGGACTAGGAAGTTACCCACTTTTTCATGCCAGAAATAACCATCTCACCTTCAAGCCTGTACTCACAAGTCCTCCCTGCTGGGGAGCCTGCTACAACCTACCCATTTACATTCTCACAGCAGGAGGCCCCAGGCCTGTGCCAGGCCCCTTGATACCCTACAGCCTTCAACTGTCCCCTTCTCCTGGAAAGCTTTTGTTCCAGCCACTCACAAGCCCAATTCCTTCACCGTCAATGCCCACACCCCAGCTGTCCTACTTCCAGGAGTCCCCGGCCCACTCTGCCCTCCCTGCTGTTACTCTGTATCACACAGCCTTGTTTTTTTCTCTTCTTGCAGTTATTAGAAATCCCAGCGATCTTACATGGAGTTCAGCTTGCAGGCTGTGAAATGAAGGGGGCCCTTAGGACCAGCACCAGTGGAAGGGAGGGAAGAAGCAGGTCAGGCTGAGGGAGCAGCCGACCTGCCATGCGGACAAGAGCCTCTGTTGACCCCACCAGAAGCTGTGGAGATAAGACGTCCTGCATTGGGTTGAAGTGGCTGGGCTTTGCTGCCCATCTGCATCAGTCCTTGGCTGGGGCCACACTCCAAAGAGCATAACCCTGGACAGAGCAGCTCTCCACAGGCGGTGTTAGAAGCTCCCGGGTTTCCTCAGGGCCTTCCCTGTCTTCTGCATTTTGTCCAGCACATTTAAAAAAATTTCGAAAACAAAGAATAGACATAAAAGCACAAAGAAACTCCCTAATTTGTGGGATAATTGAAACTGTGGTTTCCTTTCTCACAACTCTCTGAAGCTTTCAGTGTAGGGCTTTCTTTCCAGGGCCCCTTCTCCACTAGCCTCCTCTCAGGCCCTTGGCCAAGGCAGAGAAAAACCAGGAGGAGCTGGGCATCCCTCCCACTTGCTGCCCCTCAGCCTGGCCCTGGAGCCTGACTCCCTACCTTTTTTCCAACTTGAAGGCTGAAAGTTTTGAATCCACAGTTTCGGGGGAGGTCAGCAGGGACTGAGAACTTGGGCAGGGGCTCTGAGAGGACTGGAGAGGTAAGGCCCTTGCTCCTTGAAATTCTTCTCTCTCTCTTTCTCTCTCTCTATCTCTCATCCCACCTGACAGATGAAGTCAATAAGGATTATACTCTAACTCTGTGCTTCCAGTGCTTATTGGAAAAAAGAGGGCAGAAAAAAAATCCCTTTTCATCCTCCCCACCTTCAAAGCTGATGAGAAATTCACACAGTGAGCCCAGGAGCTCTTGCCCTCTTCCGCCTTCCTCATTTCTGTGGCACGCCCTGCATCTCTTTTTAAATCCACCACTTGTAATTGCTTCTGACCATCTTCCTGATTCCTTTCCAGGTCTCTCTCACCTTGAGCCTCCAGAGGAGTATGTCAGATGCTGTGCCAAGGGCTGAGGTCACAGGCAGGTGGCGCGCCCAAGTCCTGGGCAGGAGGAGAGCAGATGCATGCCTAGGGCAGGGCTGGGGCAGGAGCAGCCTCACGTGAGCAGCTTTCCTGTCCCTGGACCTCCTCTGGCCACCCTGCTCCTCTGTAGCCCCTGCTTGAGGCCAGGTTCAGCAGGTATTGCAGCACACACGCACACGCACACACACGTATGCACATGTGTGCACAAAACTTACACACCTCCAAAAATATTGGTGAGCAGCATTGTTTTTTCCTGAAGGTTTGATGGAGGGGGAATTACACTGAGCATCATATGCTAAAATTTCCCAGACACCCCCCTTTATCATCTCTCCATTCCTTCCCCAAATCCGCTCTCCCAGAGTAGCTACCTCACTTCTCTGTTGCTCCCTTCATCTGTCCTCATACCCCTCTCCCCGAAGCTCCTCCCAGCTCCATTGACCTCCAGAGGTCTTCCCACATAGGCTTCTCAAAGTCTGTGTGGATGCCCCACCCAGTGAGGCCAATAGGTGCAGAGAAAACAATACACAGACCTGGTACATGACCTTGAGAAACTACACTCATTTGGGCCCACAGGGTCCTTGGGGAGTGAAGTGTCCTGGCATGTGTGGGTTCATAATGCCTTGGATTCATAGTGCCCTGGATTTGTAGTGCCTCCCCTGACTCCTGATTCTTCCCAAGGGGACATAGAAGGGAAGCTGAGGCCCTCTGGGATGGGCAGGGATCTGTGGGGCTTTGTTAAGGACATGACAGAATCTCTCCTGGAGCAGGATGCAGCCCACAGAGGACTGGGGGTGGGTGTCTGGAGGCACAGGAACCCAGCTCACCCTTCCAGGGACATCTGGTGAGCCCGGCCAGTGTGGGGTAGGGCAACTCCAGACTCAAAGTCCCTTTACTGAGGGCTTCCAAGAAGAGGAACAAGGCAGAGTGAGTCAGATGCCACTTGGCCGCCCTCCTGTACATTTCCTCCTTTCAGCAGCACCACGGCTGAGGAGCTAAAAATAACATCTGTATGCTTCTATTTAAAGGAAATTTAAGAGAGGTGATAGAAATCAAAACAGTGGTTGCCATTCAATGAGGAGAGAGACCCCAAAGTGCTGGATATTCTGTACTTTGATCTGGGTGTTGGTTACCTGGACATACACACAATCAAAATGCATCAAGCTGTCCACTGAGTTTTGTATATTTTGCTGTGTGTAAATTATACCTCAATAAAAAAGTCAGTAATGGAAGAGATCAGAAATGGTTCCAGACCAGGGCAGTCCCAGAGACAGAGAGAGCAAAATGTGGGAGAAGGCGAGTGAGTAGACATGAGAAGAGAGCCCGACAGAAAAGAGAGGTGGACCTGAGACCGCAGGTCCTGGGAAGATGGAGAGGAAGAGCAATGGGGAGGGCCAGAAAGGAGAGCAGGCAGAAGAGGGAACAGCAGCCCTTATTGTTAGCATGTCTGGCAGGCAGCGGCGGCATGGCATGAGATGTCTGTTGTCCTTAGGGTCTTTGAAACCACCCCTTCATTCTTTCATGGACTGAGAGTTATAGGGGCCATTGGAGAGATTAGTACATCCAGGGATTAGCTGAAACACATAATAGGTTTTTGCCCAGCTGCAGGGCTAATGTTTGGTCCACACTGGGTGACAGGATTGGGGCCTGGTCCTCTGATATCCCTACAAATAGAGCCTGAGACTCATCCTCTTGCAGAAATTCTGGCCTGGAGAGGAAGAGGCTTCTCACTGAATTTTCTTGCTTTTGCTGCTCAGGAGAAGCCAAGCCCATCGAACACCCAGAGAACTGCAGACGGCTGAAGTGTGATATGTGCCACTCAGAGCAGGGCCAACACTGATGCACGGTGTTAATATTAAGCTCTGAGTGGCTTCTGTATCTTATCCAAAAATTGGGAATAAACTGAACAAATCCATTTCTTCTTTTAAAAATGGGTAGTTTTTAACAATGATTGAGAGCCCAAAGTCATAGAACAGATCCAAGTCTGTTGGCCGGAGCAGCCTTCTCACTTTGGGGGTGAGAATGGTGAGTGTTTGTTCTCACTAATCTTAGAAAAGTCTGGGAGATGAGAGGCCTCGAGGGAACTCCCCGGGAACCCTGGGCAGTCCCCTGCGCTCGCCTACCCTGCCTGCCCGAACATGAGCAAACTCGGGACTCCAGGCAGGCCCACCTCCATTTTCTACTTTACTCCCTAGCTCAGAGCAAGGGCTGTGGAGTTAGGCTGCCTGAACTATTTTCTCTCTCTATTACTTACTTGCTGTGGGGATATAATCCTTCATCTGTAAAATGGGATGAAAGTAGTGTCTACCTCATAAGCTTATTATGAGGATTAAATACCTCAATGTATAAAGTACTTAGATATACACACAATGGAGACATTTTATAGGGTCAATCAAGGCTGTTACGATTATCATCATTATTCCTGAGCATTCATCTTCTCCAGTGGCCCTGGCCTTCTTTTCTCCTATAGACCCAAAAGCCTGGGCTATCCTCTCATCTCCCCAGGAAAATGCCTCCCATTCTTTGGGACTCAGTTTGAGTCATGCTGACTATACAGCCTCCCAGCCTCGCTCTCTCCCTGTCCTCTGACAGTGGAGAATGTTAAGAGAAAGTTCAGCAAAACGTTGACCTCATTATAGAATGCCTTGTATTATTCTTTCTTTTATTCCCCCAAACTAAAATACAGACTAAACTTCCTGAGGGCAGGGCCTGGGTCTTATTTACATGGTATCTAGCCCTGCGCTGGGCACTCACTGAACCAAGACATTTACTGAATTTGCTGTCTTCCCCCAGTCACCCTAGTTCTGCTGACAGAACCTCCATTCCTACGGCAAGCTCCAAACCAAAGCCTCCAGTAGTTCCCTGGCACAGCTGCATGCCTTGGACAGGAATCCACTGTGCCGAAACCAGCAGGGGAACCATTTCAAGGAAGGAGAGTCTGCTTCCCTTCCTATGCTGTGCAGACTTCTCCCCTAAACTCTGCCTGCCAGATACCTCCACTGGATGTCTAAGTGACATACACATGGCATATCCCAACCTGATCATCCTATATCCCTCCATATCTCAATAAAGATCAGTTCTATCCTAGTAGCTCAAGCCAAACTTCTGGAGACATCCTGGACCCCTCCCTTTCTTTCACGACCCACATTGAATCCATTAGTCATCCTGTTATCTGTACTCTCAAAATATGACCCGGCCCAATTATGTCCCACAGAGGTGTGCTGACAGCTGGTTGTAGAACACTTGTGAAGTTTGTGAGCTGGTTGTTAGGCAGTAAGTGGCTTGAAGTGAACCATGGTGGGAATATTGCACCATATAAATTGGCAAATGCTAAAAATCAGAGCTCCTCCCACCCAGTTTTATTAAGATAAAATTAACATATATCACTGTGTAAGTTTAAGGTGTTCAGTGTAATAGTTTGACTTACAAATTCTGTGAAGTGAGTACCACAGTAGTTTAGTTAGCTTCCATCAACTCATACAGATGAAAGAAAAAGAGAAGTTTTTCCTTGTGGTAAGAACTATAATATTTACTCTTAAAATTTTCCCTCACATCACATATAGCAATGTTACCTACAGTCATCATGTTTCACATGATGTACTTATTTATTTTATAACTGGAAATTTGTACCTTTGACCACCTTCCTCCAACTTGTCCTCCCCCCACCTCTGACCTATGGTAATCACACATCTGATTTCCTTTTCTATGAGTTTGTGGGGATTTTTCATTTTTTTGTTTTTATGTTTAGATTCCACATGTAAGTGAATTTCACTTAGCACAATGCCTTCAAGGTCCATCCATATTGTTGCAAATGACAGAATTTCTTCAATTTTTATGGCTGAATAATATTCCACTATATATATATACACACACATATATATGCATATATACATAATTACATGTATAGTTTTAATATGTATGTATGTATGTGTGTGTATATATATATATATGTATACACACACACACACACACACATATATATATATATATACACCACAGCTTCTTTATCCATTCAACCACTGATGGGCACTTAGGAGGTTTCCATTTCTTAGCTATTGTAAATACTGCTGCCATGAATGTGGGGGTGCAGATATATTCTTTAGTTAGTGTTTTTGTTTCCTGTGTATATATTCCCAGAAGTGGAATGGCTGGATCATATGATAGTTGTATTTTTAATTTCTTGAGGATCCTCTGTACTGATTTCCATAGTGGCTGTACAAGGTTATTTGTTTTTTTCGCTATTGAGTTGTATGAGTTCTTTATATCTTTTAGAATATAAACATATATCAGATGTATGGTTTACAATTATTTTTTTCCTATTACCTAAGTTGCTTTTTCAGTTTGTTGATGGTGTCCTTTGTTATGGAGAAGCTTTTTAGTTTGATGTAGTCCCACTTGTTTATTTTTATTTTATCATACTTTAGATTGTCATATCCAAAAAATCATTATGAAGGTCCATGTCAAGGAGCTTTTTTCCTGTTTTCTTCTGAGGTTCCATGGTTTCGTGTCTTACATTTAAGTCTTTAGCTCATTTCAAACGAACTTTTGTGAGTGGTGTCAGCTGCAGTCTAGTTTCATTCTTTTATATGTGAATATCTAATTTTCCCAGCACCATTTATTAGTTTATTACAGAGGCTATCCATCAGGTGTTCTTGGCTCCCTTGTCAAGTATTAGTTAACTGCCTATGCTTGCATTTATTTCTGCGGTCTCAAAAATCAGAGCTTTTATTTTTATTTTTTATATTTTCCTGAAAGCTGGTTACCAAAACTCAACTGACTTCTCACCCTCTCCCCTACTACCTCCATGTCCCAAGCTTCCATCGTCTCTCATCTGCATCTTTACAATAGCCTCCTATCTGGTGACCCTGCTTTTACCCTTGCTGCCCTGTGGTGTACCCTCAACATGGTAATCCTGTAACAACAATGTCTAGGGCTGTGCTCAGAATGCTCCACTGGCTTCCCATTTCATCCAAAATAGAAGCCTAATTTCTAATCAATGTTCACTAATCTTTACACATCTGACCCTCCACCACCTCTCTGATCTCACTTTAACCACTCTCAGTTACTTCATTCCTTCCTTGGTGCTCCTTAAACATGCTAGGAACCCCTCTGCCTCAGGGCCTTTGCACTTGCCATTTCCTCTACCAAGTAAGTTCTTATCTGGATAAGCTCATGGCTTTCTTGTTCATTACCTTCAGTTCTCCCTTTAGAGAGAAATCAGCTTGATCACCCTGTGAAAATCACCTTTCTCTCACTCAGCCATTGCTCTCTATCCCCCTTAAATGCCTTCATTTTTCTCTGTCTATCACTACCTGAAACATTACTTATTTACTTGTTTATGTGGCTATTCCTTATTCCTCCACTCCACCCCAACTGGAATGCAAATTTCACAAGGGCAGAGACCTTTTTTTGTTCACTTCTGTGTCCTTAGTGTCTAGAATAATGGCTGGCACATAGTAGGTGCTCAGTAAATACATGTTGAATGAATGGTGTTGCCCACATCCCTAAGCGATTCCCCCTGGGCAGGAAGATCATGACAGCATGGCCTAGACATTGTTTCGCAGGATCACTATGTTGAGGGTACACCACAGGGCAGCAGGGGTAAAAGCAGGGTCACTAGCTAGGATGTTACACAGTGACGCAGGGGATCATGACACTCCAATACTGTACAGAGATGGTCCCCTTGGTCTCCTCCCCAAGGGTGCCCCAGTTCCTCTGAGCATTTTACTGCTATCAGGAATTCAAAAAGAACACTTAGCTGAGTAAGTACCCTTCAATGCTAACACCTTTGGTGTGAATGAATCTCTTAAAACAAAAATTTAAGATGTAAGTTTGAAACTAGGCTGAACACAAGTTATTCCACCATTGCTCATAAGGGAGTGTTTTCATAAGATAAAATGAGAATTTCAGGCTGAATTGATAAGAAGTCAAATGTTTGTATCTTCCTCTGCCAAGGGTCAGATCCCAAGTTAAAAAGAATAGGTATACATATAAATATATATATCAGTGAATATATACATGTATGTGTGTCTGTGTGTGTGAGAGAGATGGTTAATTTTATATGTCAACTTGACTGATTCACAGACTGACCAGATATTTGGCTAAACATTATTCTGGATGTGTCTGTGAGGATATTTTTGAATGAGATTAACATTTGAATAGGTAGATGAGCAAAGCAGGTTGCTTTCCCTAATGTGGGTATGTCTCATCCAATCAGTTGATGGCCTGAACAGAACAAAAAGCCTGACCCTCCCTCAGGTAAGAGGAAAGACCTACCTGACTGCCTGAGTGGAGACAGTAGTCTTTTCCTGTCTTTAGACTTGACCTGAAGTATTGGCTCTCCTGGGTCCTGAGCCTGCTGGCCTTCAGACTGGAACTTACAGCACTGGGCCTGCCAACCAGATTTTTAGACTTTGTAGTTCCCATAAGTGTATGAGCCAAGTCCTCATAATAAATCTATCTACACATTCTATTTGTTCTGTTTCTCTGGAGAACCCTGACTAACACTGTGTGTGTGTGTGTGTGTGTGTGTGTGTGTGTGTGTGTGTGTGTGTGTGTGTGCATTTTATAAATATATCTATTTGTGGGGCTATGGCTGGTAGTATGGCGGGGCGTTTGTGGGCAGGCAGATGTCCTAAATCTCTGAATGTAAGAGACTTATTTAGACATAAGTTCCTGATGAAATAAGGCCTAGTTGTTCACTTTCTCAGTGTCCTTCTGTCCCCTAGCAGCTGTCTTGCTGCCATAGGATGGGAATGCAGAAAGCAGGAGCACTGGGCTTGGCCTCCAGAGGTCTCCAGAGTGGCATCTGCTCCTTCATGGTCTTG